ATCAGCAACAGTAGCAGCAGCAAGAGCATCAGCAACAGTAGCAGCAAGAGCATCAGCAACAGTAGCAGCAAGAGCATCAGCAACAGTAGCAGCAAGAGCATCAGCAACAGTAGCAGCAAGAGCATCAGCAACAGTAGCAGCAAGAGCATCAGCAACAGTAGCAGCAGCAAGAGCATCAGCAACAGTAGCAGCAGCAAGAGCATCAGCAACAGTAGCAGCAGCAAGAGCATCAGCAACAGTAGCAGCAAGAGCATCAGCAACAGTAGCAGCAGCAAGAGCATCAGCAACAGTAGCAGCAGCAAGAGCATCAGCAACAGTAGCAGCAAGAGCATCAGCAACAGTAGCAGCAAGAGCATCAGCAACAGTAGCAGCAAGAGCATCAGCAACAGTAGCAGCAAGAGCATCAGCAACAGTAGCAGCAGCAAGAGCATCAGCAACAGTAGCAGCAAGAGCATCAGCAACAGTAGCAGCAAGAGCATCAGCAACAGTAGCAGCAAGAGCATCAGCAACAGTAGCAGCAGCAAGAGCATCAGCAACAGTAGCAGCAAGAGCATCAGCAACAGTAGCAGCAAGAGCATCAGCAACAGTAGCAGCAAGAGCATCAGCAACAGTAGCAGCAAGAGCATCAGCAACAGTAGCAGCAAGAGCATCAGCAACAGTAGCAGCAAGAGCATCAGCAACAGTAGCAGCAAGAGCATCAGCAACATTAACAGCAGGACACACAGCAACACAACTGGCATACAACTCCGCCGTTCTGGGATTAATTAAGTAACTGTCAAGACGACCAACTGCTGTCATCAGAAGAGGAGGAAGAGGAGGGGGAGGAGAAGAGGAGGAGGAAGAGGAGGAGGAAGAGAAGAAAATACATGTTGTATAAAGGGAACAGTAGCAGAACCTACCTACCTGCCAGTTACACCTGTGATCTATCAGCCAGGAAGGCAGCCACCATACACCGCTCACTTGTCAATGTACAGAAGCTAATACATTTAGCATAATGTCTCGCTACATCAGGAGCTTTTACCAATGTTAGCGACCTCGCCAACACAGTTTCGTGATCACTCGGCGTTCGTGTATAGTTGTTGAGCTGGGAACATTTCTGTGCGACAGGACTCCCAGGAATTTTGCTAGGATTTCTATCTATATCGCATGTATAGGACTAATGTTCTCAAGGTTCCCCGCCTGGCCCAACTTGGTGGACAACCAGAAGTCGGCAGCAACAACACAAGACGCTCAGACGTCATTAGTCATTCTCAGATGTATTACTCCATCAGCGATCTTTTATTCTTGGTTAATTCGTATTTGAAACATGTTTACGTGGAATGTAGATATGCGAGCAATAAATCAAGCGACCATACGAATGCTCTGATACATATTTGGTTTCAATTTCAATGTATACCTAACATGACTTATTAAGCATTAAATAACGCTTATTCCTAATGAAAAGCTAATAATATTCCTATGAAATAAACCTTTCGTGGGTAAGAAGCAGACAGCTTCTGATTCCTTTAAACAGGCTGAGAACTTTTTCTTCCAACTGCTCATGGCAGACCTTTCCCAGCATTGTTTTCCCTGGAACACGACTCGCCAATCGGTTACCATCCAGGTCCCTAGTTACTGCTGGGTAAACATGAGCGAACAGTTAAGGATTGACGCCCTGTCAATCGTCACAATCGTGTGTGTGTGTGTGTGTGTGTGTGTGTGTGTGTGTGTGTGTGTGTGTGTGTGTGTGTGTGTGTGTGTGTAAGAGCGTGCGTGAGTCCTTGCTCAAGCATCAAAAACTACGTACAATAATCAGGGCCAAAAGCCGCAGGTAACAAGGTTGTTGAGGATGAAGCGTCACTAGGACTTACCATCGACCTGCAGCTTTGCAATTACTTTATTCACTCTCGTATTCTTGAAGATATCCTCACAGTATACCCAAAATTTGCCAGTGCAGGCTATTAAACACATGGCCCTGTATGACTAACCATCCTGCGAGATGGGGACTTGTATTACCACTGCTACCTTATTCAATCTTGTGTTGTTGATATCCTCAAAATGCATCCGGAGTCTGCCAGTGCAGACCGCCTATCACATGTCTCTGTATGACTAACCATCCTGTGTGATGGGGATTTTATAGCATCACCTAGTTAGCTTTTTTTGACACACTGTACTCCACTTCATATAGTCTAGGGTAGCTGCACTAATGCAGATGTACCCAATGTGTTAATAAAAAAAAAAATGACTCCTCGACACCCCTCAGGTTAACCCCCCCCACTCCTCCACACCCTCAGGTTAACCCCCCCCCCACTCCTCCACACCCTCAGGTTAGCCCCCCCACTCCTCCACACCCTCAGGTTAGCCCCCCCACTCCTCCACACCCTCAGGTTAGCCCCCCCACTCCTCCACACCCTCAGGTTAGCCCCCCCACTCCTCCACACCCTCAGGTTAGCCCCCCCACTCCTCCACACCCTCAGGTTAGCCCCCCCCACTCCTCCACACCCTCAGGTTAGCCCCCCCACTCCTCCACACCCTCAGGTTAGCCCCCCACTCCTCCACACCCTCAGGTTAACCCCCCACTCCTCCACACCCTCAGGTTAGCCCCCCCACTCCTCCACACCCTCAGGTTAGCCCCCCCACTCCTCCACACCCTCAGGTTAGCCCCCCCACTCCTCCACACCCTCAGGTTAACCCCCCACTCCTCCACACCCTCAGGTTAGCCCCCCCACTCCTCCACACCCTCAGGTTAGCCCCCCCACTCCTCCACACCCTCAGGTTAGCCCCCCCACTCCTCCACACCCTCAGGTTAGCCCCCCCACTCCTCCACACCCTCAGGTTAGCCCCCCCCACTCCTCCACACCCTCAGGTTAGCCCCCCCCCACTCCTCCACACCCTCAGGTTAGCCCCCCCCACTCCTCCACACCCTCAGGTTAGCCCCCCACTCCTCCACACCCTCAGGTTAGCCCCCCCACTCCTCCACACCCTCAGGTTAACCCCCCACTCCTCCACACCCTCAGGTTAACCCCCCACTCCTCCACACCCTCAGGTTAGCCCCCCCCACTCCTCCACACCCTCAGGTTAGCCCCCCCACTCCTCCACACCCTCAGGTTAGCCCCCCCACTCCTCCACACCCTCAGGTTAGCCCTCCCACTCCTCCACACCCTCAGGTTAGCCCCCCCCACTCCTCCACACCATCAGGTTAGCCCCCCCCTCCTCTACACCCTCAGGTTAACCCCCCACTCCTCCACACCCTCAGGTTAGCCCCCCCCCCCCACTCCTCCACACCATCAGGTTAGCCCCCCTCCTCTACACCCTCAGGTTAACCCCCCACTCCTCCACACCCTCAGGTTAACCCTCCACTCCTCCAGTAACCAGCGGCAAGTGTAGTAGCAGGTGGCGGGGGCCGGACCCCAGCACGTCATCCTCCCCGTGAGGTTGACTTCTACATTATAGATGTGGAGGTATTGATCCAGCAGGAGGTAAGGAAGGGGAGGCTAGGGACGGGGCGGAGGCATCTGGGCCGTAGCAGGTCGATTATCAACACCAGGTGACCTTCGACTGTTTCATAGATTACCCAGCGGGGCTGTAGGCTCCAGCTGGGAGTAGCGAAGAGGGAGGAGGAGGCACAGGCGGAAGAGAAACAACTGGAGAAGGACAAGGAAGAGGAGGAAGAGGAAGAGAAGGCTGGTGTTCATATACCTTCCTTACATATGGCCCACCAGAAATATGGCCTCAAGAGAGAATGGTTCTCACTGTGAATCTAGTACAAGAATCAAGTTTTTTTTTTCAAATATATATGTGATCAGGGGCCTCGGAGGATATAGGGGCCTCGTAGCCTGGTGGATAGCGCGCAGGACTCTTAATTCTGTGGCGCGGGTTCGATTCCCGCACGAGGCAGAAACAAATGGGCAAAGTTTCTTTCACCCTGAATGCCCCTGTTACCTAGCAGTAAATAGGTACCTGGGAGTTAAGTCAGCTGTCACGGGCTGCTTCCTGGGGGTGGAGGCCTGGTCGAGGACCGGGCCGCGGGGACACTACAAAGCCCCGAAATCATCTCAAGATAACCTCAAGAAGATCATCAGCTGCCTGACTAAAACAAAGCTGATTTAAAGAAATATAAAAAACCCAACACCAGCGCTAGACAGGCAGACCAGGTCCTCGGTGCTATTTTCAAGACTATTATTACTACTACTACTATTAATACTATTACTACCATTACTACACAAGCAAATCAAACAAACATGATAACTAATGATAAAATCAAGTGGAGCAATGCGTTGACTCAGACCCAGGACCTGGGACAGTCCCAGTCGTGCGCCTTAACTCACTACACCGTGATATTCTATAATTTATCCTGGGATCCTACTGCATCCACTATGGTCTTAAGGTACCGTCCAGCCCACACCAAATCAAGTTTTAACAAATTACCCGCATACAGTTTGGTGTGGGTAGAGATATACCCGCATATATGTACGTATAGAAGTATATATATACACACACACACACACACACACACACACACACACACATGGAAACCGAGTACCCACATGAGCCTCCAAGTGTTAGAAGGAACTTTTTCAGTGTCAGAGTAGTTAACGGATGGAATGCACTAGGAAGTGATGTGGTGGAGGCTGACTCCATACACAGTTTAAAATGTAGATATAACAGAGCCCAGTAGGCTCAGGAATCTGTACACCAGTTGATTGACAGTTGAGAGGTGGGACCAAAGAGCCAAAGCTCAACCCCCGCAAGCACAGATAGGTGAGTACACACACACACACACACACACACACACACACACACAGGGAGGGAGAGCAGGCTAGACGCACACAGATGCGACACTGCAGGATAATCCCATCAGGAGCTCATAACATATTCAGAGCCTCGTTTGGAGAATTATATCCTCTTTCCTGCGCCACACTATCCTAAATTGTGCCACACCGAGCCTCTCTCCTGTACCAAACCATCCACCAAGTGCCACACCATCCACCAAGTGCCACACCGGTGCAATGCAAATCACCATGGCATACACGGCTCTAGCTCAGGCTGTGGCAGACCCTTACACTTGCACACGTAACAGTCTCGCTGAGAGCAACTACACAACAGTGAGAGGGACCTGCATGGAGTGTAGAGGAGCAAGGAGACCCGAGGTGGGCTATAGAGCAACAACAAGAGATCTGAGAGGAACATTAGAGCAGCGAGAGGGGACATGAAAGAAACAACAGAGCAGCGGGAGGACCTGAGGGGAACTACAGAGCAGCAGGGGGACCTGAGGGGAACTACAGAGCAGCAGGGGGACCTGAGGGGGACTACAGAGCAGCAGGGGGACCTGAGGGGGACTACAGAGCAGCAGGGGGACCTGAGGGTGACTACAGAGCAGCAGGGGGACCTGAGGGGGACTACAGAGCAGCAGGGGGACCTGAGGGGGACTACAGAGCAGCAGGGGGGGACCTGAGAGGGAGTCACTGGGTGGCGGAGGAAGGGGGGTCGTCCCCTTCATTATGGCGTTGTGTTTCCTCTCACAGACACGAAACTTTGTGTAGCTTGGGTTATCATGTGAGGGATGGAGGGAAGGAGTGAGGGAAGCAGTAAGGGAGGGATGGTGACTGATGGAAGACACTAGTAATGGAGGGAGGAAAGGAAGTAGGGAGGGGCGAAGACAGAACAGAAGGTGAGAGGTAGGGGGAGGAGGAAGAATGAGACAGGGATTGGAAGGAAGGAGATAAGAAAGGGGAAGAGGCCGGGTGGGCTCATTTTTAAACATGGAATAAAACAGTAATAAAAAAAAGGGCATTGTGACTTATGACAGACAATACTGTGTGTGTGTGTGTGTGTACTCACCTATATGTGCTTGCAGGATCGAGCATTGACTCTTGGATCCCGCCTTTCGAGCATCGGTTGTTTACAGCAATGACTCCTGTCCCATTTCCCTATCATACCTGGTTTTAAAATTATGAATAGTATTTGCTTCCACAACCTGTTCCTGAAGTGCATTCCATTTCCCCACTACTCTCACGCTAAAAGAAAACTTCCTAACATCTCTGTGACTCATCTGAGTTTCAAGCTTCCATCCATGTCCTCTCGTTCTGTTACTATTCCGTGTGAACATTTCGTCTATGTCCACTCTGTCAATTCCTCTGAGTATCTTATACGTTCCTATCATGTCCCCCCTCTCCCTTCTTCTTTCTAGTGTCGTAAGGCACAGTTCCCTCAGGCGCTCTTCATACCCATCCCTCGTAGCTCTGGGACGAGTCTCGTTGCAAACCTCTGAACCTTTTCCAGTTTCATTATATGCTTCTTCAGATGGGGACTCCATGATGAGGCGGCACACTCTAAGACTGGCCTTACGTAGGCAGTGTAAAGCGCCCTAAATGCCTCCTTACTTAGGTTTCTGAATGATGTTCTAACTTTTGCCAGTGTAGAGTACGCTGCTGTCGTTATCCTATTAATATGTGCCTCAGGAGATAGATTAGGTGTTACGTCCACCCCCAGGTCTCTTTCACGCGTCGTTACAGGTAGGCTGTTCCCCTTCATTGTGTACTGTCCCTTTGGTCTCCTATCTCCTAGTCCCATTTCCATAACTTTACATTTGCTCGTGTTGAATTCTAGTAGCCATTTCTCTGACCATCTCTGCAATCTGTTCAGGTCCTCTTGGAGGATCCTGCAATCCTCATCTGTCACAACTCTTCTCATCAACTTTGCATCATCCGCAAACATCGACATGTAGGACTCTACGCCTGTAAACATGTCGTTAACATATACAAGATGTGTGTGTGTGTGTGTGTGTGTGTGTGTGTGTGTGTGTGTGTGTGTGTGTGTGTGTGTGTGTGTGTGTGTGTGTGTGTGTGTGTGTACGCGTGCGTGCGTGACGACATCGCTTGCATACTGATACATATTTAGCTGTAAATGAGTCATTCAGCATTTACCACCAGTGCCCTTACTCATAAATCCATATTGGTGACCCGGTCATATTAAATACTAGGAGACAAGTTCATCCATTACTTCCTTGTATAGTGACAGAAATACAGAAGCAACTAGTGTGGGAACCGACCTGTGAGATTTATATTTATTTAATTTATATGAATTTATATTTACGTTAATTTATATACTTCGATAGCAATTTGTATAATGTTAAGTGGACTGTATTTCTGCAATAATCTCAATCTCACAAATCGATCCTCTACACATTAGGGGGGGGTTATATTTATATGTATGCAGCCAATCAAACTACAGTAACTACATACATTGAAGAGGTTCCTTATCTTATAGTACAGCAGGTTAGTCCACCAGGTATAACTAGGGTGTAGACACCAAATTATCCTCTTTGAGGTAGCTTCCATATCACCCAGTAACTGGTGCACAAATCTTGCATCCTCGTCTTGACCTGTCAAAAGTGCGCTAGCTGTGAAGCCAGATACCTATATATGACAAGTATATCAGAGAAAACAGTACATGGAACATGAAGACCTGGCTTAAATACCTTTAGTTTGAGGCTTCCATGTGATCTAACCGGGTCACCCTATATAATGACATTAATGGCCACTAATGATAGATAATGGGTTTCGGAAAGAACACTTAACTTGATTTGTTGACAGCGTGTTGACAGATGGTACACCTTTGGTATCCATAACACTACGTCCAAGTAAAATTAACAGGAGCCGAATTTGCTCCCGTGTGAGCCTCTGGTCTCGTATAACAATGGCTGCCCTCCTTCCCCACTGACGCCTGGCCTACTTTGTCCAGATTTCAGAAAGTGATAGAAGGGTCACATTTACTCTACTTTAATATTGATAATTAAGTTAATTTATATAAGATGTTTTTATGATGGTAAAGTCCAAAGACTAATGTATTTAAGAATAATTCCCAGCAGAATAGCTGGTGAATTATAATTATAATGGTATGTGGTGATGATATCCCGTTTTCTTTAGATGGTAATTCCACTACAAGTTACGTTTTCTATGGGTAACTTGTTTATACAACACAGCTATTATCTGTATGATATATTAAATGGTGTCGGATTTTCCGACAACTAGGCAACGTTATTTATAGTCAATCAATATTCCCCATCATGCAGAAGATGAGTCACAGTAACGTCGTTGACGATATGATGACCAACCACACATCAGAAAATGAAAAAACGACGACGTTTCGGCCCGTCCCGGACCATTATCAAGTCGTGTAATGGTCCAGGAGGGACCGAAACGTCGTCGTCTTCTCATCTTGTGGTGTGTAGTTTAGTCACAATATCTCCCACTAATTATAAAGGTGAAAGATCGGCTAGGAAAGCCTTACTAACAATCTAGTGAAAAAGAGATAATAATTGAAGAATTTCTTTCACGGAGAAAATGAGCAAGAGCCGTGACGAGGAATCGAACCAATGATCCGGGTATTCCCAAGCAAACGCTTTAGACGACTAGGCCAAGACCTGCTCAACACAATTGCATCCTGGGATTCAACTGAATCTTCTAGGGTTCCTGAGGCTTCCACTAAAGCCTAACTAGGGTTTCACACAATCCCTCCATACACTGTTATTCAGGAATTCTATCTCTAACACTTCCTGTTCAATGCACATCACATTAACGTGATACATCACGTTAATACGCGATTTATTTGCGCAAATTCTTTCACATTATACGAAAGTATCTCCAGGCCTCCCTCGACTCCTACTGACCTGTGTCACCAGTGGTGGGGGAGACAACCCAACACACACACACACACACACACACACACACACACACACACACACACACACATACCTGGAAATAAACAAAACAAATATTAAAACACAGTAATGGATGAATTAATAAGGAAAATATATATGCTTTTGTTTTGAACCATTGATGCTAAATTCTTTAAGGAGTGCGCACACACTATATTGTGTGTGCGCACTCACACAATAAATATATATATATATATATATATATATATATATATATATATATATATATATATATATATATATATATATATATATATATATATATATATATATACATACATATACATATATACATATATATATATTATATACATAAGGTCAAAGTATAAACATAAAACCAGGTCTGCCACTGGTCCTCAACTGACCTAATATTACACCCATATAAATAGCTGCGTTAAAAACACCTTAATTATCAACGTCAAACTACAATTATCTCCCAAATAGGAGACTAACAGCCCCCAGTATTATTTATTATGGAGAGTGGGGAAGGGGGGGGGGGCATAAACAAGCATAACTGTTGAGTGGTTATTGGTTAAAATTCAACCTTTATACTTAAATCAGTATAATTTGCAACTATAAACAAATGAGAACATTTTGCTATGTATTTCGTCTTCTATTAAGTTATATATTTGTAAGGAAAATTATATTTACTTTGTATTTACAACTTTCCTAGCGTTTTTAACAAGGAATTTAGTCTAAAGAAACAGTGGTTGGAACTGTATTAGTGTAACCAGCCATGAATTAGGAGGATTACTGACACAAGGGGAAGGGGAGGGGCAGGAGAACATGACCTCAACATAATGGGGTGAGCATGACCTCAACACATAGCGAAGAGCATGACCTTAACACAATAGGGGAGAGGGTGACCTCAATACGACAAGGGGAGAGGGTGACCTCAATACAATAGGGGGAGAGGGGTGACCTTAACACAATAAGGGTGAGGGTGACCTCAATACAACATGCATGACCTTAACATAAAGGGGTACACAACATGACTGCAACACGAGGGGAAGAAACAATCAGATGATGGCCGCCAACACCAGGGGGACAAACCATCCAATATTCCAGAGATAATAGAGATCCGGGGCTGCGCTCCTTCGCTCCTGAATGGGGCGGTGAATCCTGGCCAAGCTGGCGTCGGAGGCCGATTACTACCTCTCCCCCCAGGCAGCGCTGAGCAAACACTCCCTTCACCACGGGCAATGAGATCCTTCTCTCTCTCTCTCTCTCTCTCTCTCTTTCTCTCTCTTTGTTCCCTTTCAGCCTATTTCTCTCTTACCTACTCTCCCTCTCCCATTTCCCCTCCCTCCCACGAGCATTCTCTCCCTTCCCTCACAGTCCAGCCTGTTCTTTCACTGTTAAAGGGGAGGCGCTGTTGTCCTGTTGGTGCTCCAACAGGAACACAGCTGTGTTGCCGGAAATAGTGCAAGTGATTGCAGAGTCGCTTTTAAAGGGGGATGGGTGGCCTTGGGGTTCATGGGGGAGGGGTAGTGTTGGGGGTCATGGGGGGAGGGGTTGATCTTTGGGTTAAGGGGAAAGTAGTGGTCTTGGGAAGAGCTTTAGAGTCCCATTCTTTTTCACGACGGTTAACGTCTCCGATGATTAGGAGTTTTGTATTATATTTGTGGATCTTCATGGCTGCCGCTTGGATTCTATCCAAGCTTTGTTTTCATCCTCATATTCCTCCCTGGGCCTTCTGTTGTTCACCTGAGGGAGGGAGTTTGTGAGGGAGTATACCAAGACATTGTGCTGAGAATGCGATGAGTGTGCGAGAGAGCTCGTGTAGATGGGCGTACAGGAGGAAACTAGGAATCCGCGTGTGAGAGAAACAGACGCATCAAGACAAAGTGACAGCCAGCAGGGAACAGTGACAGCCAGCAGGGAACAGTGACAGCCAGCAGGGAACAGTGACAGCCAGCAGGAACAGTGACAGCCAGCAGGGAACAGTGACAGCCAGCAGGGAACAGTGACAGCCAGCAGGGAACAGTGACAGCCAGCAGGGAACAGTGACAGCCAGCAGGGAACCAGTGACAGCCAGCAGGACAGCCAACAGTGACAGCCAGCAGGAACAGTGACAGCCAGCAGGGAACAGTGACAGCCAGCAGGGAACAGTGACAGCCAGCAGGGAACAGTGACAGCCAGCAGGGAACAGTGACAGCCAGCAGGGAACAGTGACAGCCAGCAGGGAACAGTGACAGCCAGCTGGGAACAGTGACAGCCAGCTGGGAACAGTGACAGCCAGTAGGGAACAGTGACAGCCAGCAGGGAACAGTGACAGCCAGCAGGGAACAGTGACAGCCAGCAGGGAACAGTGACAGCCAGCTGGGAACAGTGACAGCCAGCAGGGAACAGTGACAGCCAGTAGGGAACAGTGACAGCCAGCAGGGAACAGTGACAGCCAGCAGGGAACAGTGACAGCCAGCAGGGAACAGTGACAGCCAGCAGGGAACAGTGACAGCCAGCAGGGAACAGTGACAGCCAGCAGGGAACAGTGACAGCCAGCTGGGAACAGTGACAGCCAGTAGGGAACAGTGACAGCCAGCAGGGAACAGTGACAGCCAGCAGGGAACAGTGACAGCCAGCAGGGAACAGTGACAGCCAGCAGGGAACAGTGACAGCCAGCAGGGAACAGTGACAGCCAGCTGGGAACAGTGACAGCCAGTAGGGAACAGTGACAGCCAGCAGGGAACAGTGACAGCCAGTAGGGAACAGTGACAGTCAGCAGGGAACAGTGACAGCCAGCAGGGAACAGTGATAGCCAGCAGGGAACAGACAGCCAGTAGGAACAGTGACAGCCAGTAGGGAACAGTGACACCAGCAGGGAACAGTGACAGACAGTGACAGCAGGGAACAGTGACAGCCAGCAGGGAACAGTGACAGCCAGCAGGGAACAGTGACAGCCAGCAGGGAACAGTGACAGCCAGCAGGGAACAGTGACAGCCAGCAGGGAACAGTGACAGCCAGCAGGAAACAGTGACAGCCAGCAGGGAACAGTGACAGCCAGCAGGGAACAGTGACAGCCAGCAGGGAACAGTGACAGCCAGCAGGAACAGTGACAGCCAGCAGGGAACAGTGACAGCCAGCAGTTGACAGCCAGCAGGGAACAGTGACAGCCAGCAGGGAACAGTGACAGCCAGCAGGGAACAGTGACAGCCAGCAGGGAACAGTGACAGCC